GCTAGCCTTGAGGGACAGTGCCCAGGCCCAGAGTTCAGGCCCCACGACCGGACCCCCCCCAAAAAAACCCAAAAAATAGGGTGTTAAACTTCTGCCAGGGGACAGTCTCAGACTTCAGGCCACAATCCTCCCACTTACAGCCTCCTGTGAAGCTGGGATTACAGGCATGAACCACATTGTTCAAAATTGTTAATTGAGCTGGTAGCTAACACCTGTAATCTCAACTATTCCATCAATCTGAGAACTGACTTTCTAAGTCAGCCTAGGCAGGAAAATCTATTAGACTCTTTTTTTTTCTATCAGTCATGGAGCCTAAGTGCTGTCCCTGAGCTCTTTTGCTTAAAGTAACCCTCTACCACTTTGAGCAACAGTGCTACTTCAAGTATTCTGGTGGTTAATTGGAGAGATGAGTTTTAAGGAGAGCCCAGTGCTGGTGGTTTGCAACTGTAATCCTAGCTACTCAGGAGACTGAGATTTGATAATTGTGGTTTAAAGCAATCCTGTCAGGAAAGTCCATGAGACTCTGATTTCCAACAAACCCAGAAAACCAGAAGTGGCACAGTGGCTCAAGTGGCTGAAGGACAGCACCCAGGCCCAGAGTTCAAGCCCCACAACCAACAAAAACAAAAAACAATCCCATGGACTTTCCTGCCCAGGCTGCCTTTGAACCACAGTCTCAGATCTCAGTCTCCTGAGTAGCTAGGATTCCGGGCATGAGCCATCATCACCCAGCTTCTATTACTCTTATCTCCAATTCTATACCAAAGTCCAGAAGTGGAGCTGTGGCTCAAATGGTAGAGCTCTAACCTTAGCCTTGAGCACAAAAACTCAGGAACAGCACTCAGACCCTAAATTCAAGCTCTAGGACTGGAACACACACACACACACACACACACACACACACACACACACAAATTATTAGTTGAGATGCATGTCTTGCTAACATTTTGTCCAGACTGATCTCAAACTGTGATCCTCCTGATTTCTGCCTCCTGAATATCTGGGTTTACAGGTGTGAGGTAGCACTCCTAGTCTACAGCATATATTTCTGAGCATGCTCAGTTTAAAGTCATAGTGGCAAACAATAACACTTCTGGGAATGCACAGTTCAATGTTATAACAAGCCAAATTTATTTCAGGTCGCCTTAAAGAGAGAGTAAGATTGGCTCAGTGACATTGGCCAGTTCTAGACAAGTTTCTCCAAGGAATCTTAGCTAAGAAAAAAAAAAAAGGAAATCTGCTCTGAAGATACAGTAATACAGGCATTTGCCCCAACAGGAACTTGCCCGGTTTAGTAGTCAACAGCTATACCTGAGTACCACTGTATACATCTGCCACCTAGATCCAGTCTGTAGACATCACTTGCTAAATAATAAAGGCTATTGTAGAAATAATTGATTCTAAGGCTACGGCAGGTAAATAAGTACAAGATAAACTTGGAATATTTCTTCCTACTGGAAAATAAAGAAATTTTTAAAGAATGATAGGTCAGAAGGATTCAGAAAGAAGTTTGAAGGGCCTCCCTTCAAGGGACAATTTGAGCAACAAAATCCCAAAATATTATATTAGAGCTCATTAAGCAAAACATATGACTCTATAGAGATATAAATTTAAAAAATGAGTACATTGAACATGTGATAAGAAATGGAATATTTGCATAGTTTTTAAGTATAGTCCCACAAAACATTCATTGATTACCAAGTGGAAAGCATAATTGTAGAGTGGAAAAAGTGGACTCTTCTGTACTGCTTGTCAGTCTCCCAAAAGATATGTCCACATCTTAAACCCCAGAACGTGTGAAAATTAGTGTCTTTGGAATAAGAACTTTTGCAGGTGTATTAGGCAAGGACCTTGAGATAAGAGAATCAACTTAGATCATTCAAATGGGCTGCAAATGTCTTTCTTGTTTGTTTGTTATGCTGGTACTGGGATTCAAATCAGGGTCTCAACCTCTTGCTCAGCTTTTCCTACTAAAACCTCATGTGATATACTTGAGCCATGCCTCCAGCCTTTTTTCACTGCTTAATTAGATGGAGTCCTGTAGACTTTTTAGACTGGGCTGGTTTGGAACCTTGCTTCTCTGGATCTCAGTCTTCTCCTGAGTAGCTAGGATTATAGGTATTAGCTGCTGGTCCCTGGCTTTAAGTGTCCTAAGAGACACACAGAAGAGAAGGAGGATAGATGAAGTGATGTAGTTAAGACCAAGGAATCCCAAAGAAATCAAACACCACCCCAAAGGTGGAAGAACAAGGAACAAATTCTCCCTCAGAGCCTTCAGAGGGAGAATGGCCCTTCTGCACCTTGGCTTTGGCTGCTGGCCTCAAGGGCCATGAAGCAATAAAATGTCTGTCTGTCTGTCTGTCTGTATATATGTATGTATTTTTGCCAGTCATGGGTCTTGAACTCAAGGCCTGGGCACTGTCCCTGAGCTTCTTTTGCTCAAGGCTAGCACTCTACCACTTGAGCCACAGGGCCACTTCTGGCTTTTTCTGTGTATGTGTACTGAGGAATTGAACCCAGGGCTTTGTGCATGCTAGGCAAGCACTGTACCACTGAGCCATATTCTCAATTCAAATGTCTGTTATTTAAAGCTACTAGTCTATTGCCACTTGTTACAATAGCCAGATGATTTGAATATACTGGCCAGTAGCCACTTTTAAACAAACAATCAACATGAACAATTAAAGTCATGCCCAGCATCATGGCACAGGGTTGTAATCCAAACATTTGGGAAGGAGTGGAGGCAAGATGACCAAAAGTCTAGGTCTGGTCTGGCAGAAGGAGAGATATTAGAGATTTTGGTCCTCAGTTTTTCTCTTTTTGTTGGTTGTAGGTTCAAAACAACCAGAATACCACATTAACTCATACACAAAGCTGTTTGAATTCCAGTATGATACACACACACACTCTCTCTCTCACACACACACAAGCAACAAAAATTATACACCATTTGATAGGACACAAACAGAGGGATACCATATTGCTTCTGTGATATTCCTGCCAAAGAAAAACACCTGAATCTCATCATAAGGACATATCAGACAAACCCAAGTTGAGGTATAATTTATTTTTCTGGTACTCAGAGCCTCATGCTAACTCAGCTTGCTTGCTCTCAGCAGGCTCCCTACTAGTTTAGCCACACCTCTAGCCCATAGATGTTCTATAAAGTAATTAATCTAAAAGCTTTACAAATGTAAAGGTGGGGGGGGGGAGGATGGGAAGGGATGGGAAGGGTAAACAAAGGAGGAGGCTACAATGCTTGATAAGAAATGTACTCACTATCTTGCTCATGTAATTGTAACCCCTCTGTACAGTATTTTCACAATAAAAAATAAAATAAAATATACCAGTGAGAAAAAAAACCAAAAAACAAATGTAAAGGTCTTTAAAAGTTAAGAATAGAAAGCTGGGTGCTGACGGCTCACCTGTAATCCTAACTATGCAGAAGGCTGAGATCTGAGGATCACAGCTCAAAGCCGGATTGGGCAGGAAAATCCAGGACACTCTTACCTACAATTAACCAAAAAAGCCAGAAGTAGAGCTGTGGCTCAAATGCTTGAGTGAAAAAGCTCAGGGACAGCACCCAGGTCCTGAGTTCAAATCCCAGGACTGGCAAAAAAAAATCTGGGCTAGAGTTGTGGCTCAATAGTAGAGTATCAGTTGAACAAGTGTGAGGCCTTGAGTTCAAACTCCAGTATTGTTTCCAAAAAAACCAAACCAAAGCTGGGCGCTGGTGGCTCACACTTATAATCCTAGCTACTCGGGAGACTGAGATCTGAGGATCGCAGTTCAAAGCCAGCCTAGGCAAGAAACTCCAAGAGACTCTTATCTCCAATAAACCACTAGAAAACCAGAAGTGGTGCTATTGCTCAAGTAGTGGAGCACTCACCTTGAGCTGAAGAGTTCAGGGACAGCGCCCAAGCCCAGAGTTCAAGCCCCATGACTGACAAAAAAAAAAAAAAAAACAACCAAACAAACAAAAAACAAAGGTATGATTATGGGTAAGATTCATCTGCTCTTAAGGTTTTTTTGTTTTGGCAGTGCTGGGGATTGAACCTATGCTCTTGAATTTTTTGAGTTCACTCTAACAAATATTTGCCACATGACAGTCATTGTGTCTGGTCCTAGGGATATTGGAAAGGGTTGCAATGCAAACCTGCAGTCTGCACAAGAGAGGGTTATGGGATGTGAGCTAAGTCTAGGATGGAAGCTAACCCCCAATGGAGTGTGGGAAGGCAGAAGGAGAGATACTGGAGAATTTGGTCCTCCGTTTTTCTCTGTTTGTTTTTATTGGTTGTAGGGCTTAAACTCAGGGCCTGGGTGCTGTCCCTGAGCCTCTTTGTGCTCAAGGCTAGAGCTCTACCACTTGAGCCATAGCACCACTTCGTTTTGATTGGGTAATTGCAGGTAAGAGTCTCAAGGGGACTTTTCTCCCTGGGTTGGCTTGGAATGGTGATCTTCAGAGTAGCTAGGATTACAGGCATGAGCCACCACTGCCCAGCAGTTTTTCTCTTTAAAATAATAAAGTCCAGGCCTCCTCAAAGGATGCTTCAAGTTCCATCTGGATTGAGAGACATAGGAGGGAGAAGAATGTGGAGAATTCAGTCTACAAAGCATGGGTGGTTGGTGGGCGGAGCTTAGGGCTCAATATTGGGTGAAGAGAACCTGGTATAAAAAAGCAGACTGCAGGGGAGAAATCTCCATGTGGTGTGTGGAGGCTCTGGAGAGACCCCTGGGAGGGGAAGGTGGGAATGGGGGCAGGCTATTGTCATTAGTCATTATGCATAGGCCCTACAGACCAGAGTAGCCCTGGCTAGGCCACATGGTGGCTGTTGCTCAGCCTCACATCCTCATCTGGGCTGCTTGCTGAGCAGGGCCCCTGGAGCCAGGCCCAATCTGTTTCCTTCTATTCTTTGACAGGAAGCTCCTGGAGAGCCGGCCCCCACCCCCCCACCCCGCCCCTGCACTCCCTCTTTTTTCTTCACTATGGACAGAGTCTCCAGTGAGTGCTTGCCTGCTGGCCACATACCCAGCTGATATGGGAACCACTGGGGCCACACAACTGTTCTGGGCAATCCTGGGCTTGCTCCTGCTTCAAGGTAAGGGATGCCTGCCACTTTCCTCTGATTCCTGCTTTTCCATTCTCTCCAGGACACACACCAGGGTTTTGCCTATGGAGGGAAATTCCACAGTCTTTCCATGGAGGATGTTACTTGGATTCAGAAGTGGGTATTGCCATTTGTAAGAAGTTTTCAAGGGTAAATCCTAAAGAAGCTGGGCAATCTCCTCTTAAATGTGGAAAAGGGCTGACTAGAGCGAGACTGAGGCCAGAAAGCTTTTTCTAGGGAATGCACATCAGGAGAAGCCTGCCGCTGTCTCAGTGAGCCTTCCTTCTGGTCTCAGTGCCAGGGTCACTTTGTGGACAGTTCTAGCACAAAATCGTCTACACCTAAGGCTTCATGGGTGTCCTCCTCCTTTTCTTCCTTCTCCTTCTTTTTCTTCTTTGTGCCCTTCCTGTGGTTTGAACTCAGGGCCTGAGCACTGTCACTGGCTTCTTTTGCTCAAGGCTAGCACTCTTCCACTTGAGCCACAGCTCCACTTCTGGTTTGTTAATTGGAGATAGGAGTCTTATCTTCTTTTCTACCAGGGCTGGCTTTGAACCATGATCCTCAGATCTTACTCTCCTGAATAGTTAGGATTACAGGCCACCAGCACTGGTTTTTTTTTTTTTGTTGTTTTCATTTTCTTCTTCGTCTTTTTTTGCTGGTCATGGGGCTTGAACTCTGGGCCTGGGCACTGTCCCTGAGCTCTTCAGCTCAAGGCTAGTGCTCTACCACTTGAGCCACAGCGCTGCTTCCTTTTTTTCCTTCTTTCTTCTAAGCGGTTTACAACCTGGGAATGCCAAATGCTGACCTTAAGCTCTAATCATAGCAAGAAGGCCTCAGGTCAGAGACAATTATTCACCAAGGAGGATGTGTATGGCATTGGGGACTAGATGACACAGAGTCCCTCTCCTCCAGGAGATGGCTCAGAGGCAATACCTCTCACACAGGCCTGTAAGTCCTGAAGCAGCTTATAAGGATCCATTTTCTCATGGCTGCTGGGAGCCATGAGAAAGTCTAGGACACTGACTCACAGGGCAGCAACTTCCCCTTAGTCACCCTTCCCCCCTCCCTCTCCCACCCAAACTTAATCCTCTGTGGAAATTTATAAGGCTTGTTCTAAACAGCAAAATCCCCAACATACCTGGATGGGGAAGGTTGACGGCCCTGCTTGGTGGTATGGTACCAGAGTACCAGAATATACTCTACCTTCGGGAGACATCAAACATTTCTCTGAAAACCCATGGGCTGAGAGTAAACTCTGACAGGTTCTCCCCTCTCAAGAGACAGATTTGAGCTGGGGCTGGTAAACCAGGTGAAATTGCAGTGGGGAACTTGCCAGGTCCAGACCTTTCCTGGCTTCATAGCCATTGTGCAGGCCCAGGTGTGGGCCAGGGCTTCCAAATGTCTGAGCTCACTCTACCTAACCTTATCACCTGGAGTCTCTCCCTATCTTTCTCTTGTTTTTTGGCAGATTGGAACTCAGGGTCTTGCTTTTAGTAGGTAGACATTCTACTCTCTATGTCTCCTATCTCCTAACTTTTCAACTCTAGAGCTCAGATTGCTTACTAAAGCTTTGTTTTTGATGGACTGAGGGCTCCTTTTGAGTATATTCATGCCTGCAAAGAGACTTGAGTGTGCATAGAGACAGAGTGGACTTCAGACCTAGAGGATTTGAAAGAATCTGTAAATTGAAATGTCTAGGACTGACTGAGCATAGACTGACTGTGTCAGGCACTGTATTATTAGGTGCTTTATATCTATTTTCTATTCCTCACAATAATTTATAGGATATAGTATCATTTCCTTGTTTTTGGTGCTGGTGACAGCGACCCAGCAACCAGGGCTTTGAGTATGCTAAGAACAGATTCTAGCCCAGGGTTACAACCCAAGCCCCTCCCTTGCAATTTTTTATTTTATTTTATTTTTTTGTGATGATCCCGGGGCTTAATCTCAGGGCTGTGTCCTATTCCTGTGCTTTTTTCTTTTTCTTCTTCTTTTTTTCCTTCTCAAGGCTGGTGCTCTATCACTTGAGCCACAGATCCAGTGCTGGCTTTTTGCTGGTTAATTGGAGATGAGTGTCTCACAGACTTTCCTACCTCGGCTGACCACAAACCATGATCTTCAGACTTCAGTCTCCTGAGTAGCCAGGAATACAGGCATGAGCCACTGGCTCTTGGCTTTTCCCTTGCATTTTAATGAAGAGAAAACTGAAGCTCAAGTCAGACAGTGAATGACAGTAAGAACTTGAATCCAAGCCGACCAAGACTGTAAAATACATGGTTTGAGAGGTATACCGATCTATGCTGCTAAGGAAAACTGGGGCATAGATGTAAACAGGCAGGAAGGAAATGAAGCAGGTAGGGGTTTGAGAGTGGAGACCAGGAAAATCAGAAACCTATATACCCAGAGTTCTTTAGGTGTCTGCATACCCAGTAATTAGAAACCCCAGCCCCACAAAAAAACATGTTCCCTAAGTCCCTCCCCTACTCACAAGGAATTGTTACAGGTAAGAAAGTAGGAGAGGAGAGGGTAGCAGAGATATAAAGAGAGCAGGTCATTGAGACTTGGTGCTTGTGACTTTGGAACTCCTCCCAAACTTCTAGATTGTTTTCTTTTTCAGGCCTTACAGCACTCAGACAGTACATAAGGTATGCTTGATCAGTAACTGATAGTTTCAAGAAAGCCTTGAATTGGAAGGATTCATTTCTCAGCTAAAAGGAGTCCTTTTTAGGTTGGGTTTCTTATAAATTTTAATTCTTCTCTGGCCACTCCACTCACAAGGGAATGTAGCTACCAGATCTTGACCTGGAAAAGCATGGCCCAGGGTTTGGAAAGCCTGGGCTTGAAAACAATTCATTTTACACTATACAAGTGATAGCCCCATGGAAGAAGGTAATGGCTTGAGGAAAATAAACAAGCAGAGCAGGCTGCCACAGGCTGAGGAGGGTCCCTGGCATCCAGCCAACTCTGGCCTCCCAGGTCTGGGCTCCATATTTCTTTGATGATGAGAGGCCACGGGAGCAGCAAGGCCAGACCCTGGGGTGGCTGTCCCAGCCCGAACGGAGGGACGGGAACCCAGCTGGGCGGTTCCACTTCCCCACGTTGTTTTCCTTTCACATTGTTCACAGGTTTCAAGAATGATTTCATTGTGGAAAGCGGGCAAACACAACCTGACCTTTCAGGGCCCACACACACATAGCTCATACAACAGCTGCAGGGATCCACAGAAATACACATGTCCATAGAGAGCAGCGAATGAGTAACTAGGGACTAGTAACTAACTCCTCTCTAGCTTTGACCGGTAATGAACATCTTGGAAATCACGCCTGCTTGTGAAAATAAAATGGTCCTCCTTCTGGAACCTTTATTCTTCTGCTGCTTATACTTCTGATCTTGCTTCTTGGGCAGACCTCTGGCTGGGGGGAAGGCCCATTTTATTCACCTTCTCATATTTCTCTTCTCTTTCCCTTGGGGCAGGGAAAGAGACAATCTTCACAGAAAAAAACAATGGGCCATGCCTAGAGATCTAGAGTACTGGGTCCTTGTCCACATACAGTAGCTTATTGTTTCTCTGTCTTTAGATATGTCACTAATCAAAAATAACCTTTGGGGCTGGGACGTTGGCTCTATGGTAGAGTGCTTGCATTGCATGCATGTGGCCCTGGGTTCGATTCCTCAGCACCATGTGAGCAGAAACAGCTGCAAGTGGAGCTGTGGCTCAAGTGGTAGAGCACTAGCCTTGAGCTGAAGAGCTGAGGGACAGCGCCCAGGCCCAGAGTTCAGGCTCCACAACCGACCAAAAATAAATAAAATAAAACATAAAATAACCTTCCTTTGACCTTGTGTCAGGTTGCCTTAACTTCCAAGGAGGACTGGAGAGAGAAGAAAGTCTTCTGGGACTTTGAATCATATGGTGATTGTGATGATACAACCAAGTCCGAGTCTCAGAGGAAGCAGCAGTATAAGCTAGTGTCCACATCCCTTAGCTCTCTGCCAAGTGTCTCCCTTCCGCCATGGGAGGCCTTGGATGGCCTGGAGACTTACTAAGCTTAGTATTTGTGTTTTGTTTTGTCTTGCAGGTCACAACTCCCAACCTACAACAACCCAGACCTCTCAAGGTAAGATGAATGTAAAGGGTCCACTCCAACATTTGGGCCTAGGAATTTAGGACTGATGTGAGAAGAGGGAGCTCTGAGCCAGTTTTGCAGTGACTGCAAGCGGCTGGGACTGGGGCAAGAGCTCTCAGAGGCCCAGTCAGCTTGGCCTAAGTCTAATGTGCCTTGAAAGAGAAGAGGGATTAGCCCGGCCAGTGGCTCACGCCTATAACCCTTGTTACTGAGGAAGCTGAGATTTGAGGATTGTGGTTTGAAGCCAGCCGGGGCAGAAAAGTCAATGAGACTCATCTCCAATTAATCACAGAAAAAGCCAGAAGTGTAGCTGTGGCTCAAAGTGGTAGAGCACTAGTCTTGAACAAAAGAGCGTAGGGACAGCACCGAGACCCTGAGTTCAAGCTACATAATCAACAAAGAAAAAAGGAGGAAAGAGATTAATGGTTGAGATAAAATATGGAGTAAGAGCAGAAAATACCAAATATGAAGAATAAAGAAGAGTCAGAAGCCAGGCACTGGTGGCTCACGCCTGTAATCCTAGCTACTCAGGAGGCTGAGATCTGAGGATCACCGTTCAAAGCCAGCCCAGGCAGGAAAGTCCCTGAGACACTTATCTCCAATAAACCACCAGAAAACCAGAAGTGGTGCTGTGGCTCAAGTGGTAGAGCGCTTGCCTTTAGCTGAAGAGCTTAGAGACAGTGTCCAGGCCCAGAGTTCAAGACCCATAACCAACAAAAAAACCCACCACCACAAAAAAGAGTCAGAGCAATAGGAAGTAGAACCTCAGCTACTGATCATTTGTTACAGGAGTCTTCAACAGTCTCCGACTGACCATAGAGGCAACTTTGCCTAACACAGGTGAGTGATTACGGCTACCCAGATGCTAGCCTCCTACCTCCCACATCCCAACCTCCAGCCATTCAGACCTGCTTGGATCCCAGAGATTCTTAGGTGGGTAAGGGAGTGTGACATCACCTCATCATCTGCCTCTGTTCTTGTAGGAAACCAATCTTCTTCAGAACCTGGTAGCCCAAAGATTCTGTCCAGTACCAGTGCCCCAGGTACTCTGCCAAATGGCACCCAGGGAAAGTATTGGGGTGCAGAGGAGCTAGACAGTTTTGCTCTACAGAATATAGACATATAGGAAAAGAGACAAGCAATCAAGCCTCACACTGGCAATTCCAAAGCAGGGGGACAAGTTCTGGGGGAGGGAATGTATGAGGAACAGAAGATACTGAGGGGCCCAGGTAAATACCAGCTACTTTATATTTGGGGGTCCAGAGACAGGGTCCAAAAGGAGTAGCCTCAGGAGTTGAGCCCAAAGAGGAATTAAGCCAACAAGTGAAGATTGTGAAGACTGGGTGAAGGGTGGGAAGATATATTCTGGGCAAAACAAACTGCAAAGACAAAAAGGTCCAGAGATGAACCAGAGAAATCGTCCCTTTCAGAATGAAAGTGGCAAAGGATTTGGGCCTAACAAGCCCTTAGCACACTTGTGCTGGCTTTCGGCCTTGACCAGGCCACACATGCTTCCTAATCCACAGGCGTTCCACAGGAGGCCTCTTGGAGCTCCCCAGTGTCCCCTAAGCCTGTAGTGCTGAGGTCAAGCACTGTGGATGGTCATTCCCCGCCTTTGCTGGGCCTGACTCAGCCTCAGACACAGAAGCTCACATCAGGACTTGGTGAGCACCGAGGGTTGATGGAGCAGAGGTGACCCTGGGATTTTGTCTGGGTGGATTCTCTTCAGGAGGCCCTGGAGCTGGGGGCAGGAGAATGGGGTGCTCTTGAGGCCAGGAGCCCACATCAGTGGCTGGTTGAAACATAGAAGTTTGAAGAGGAGTAGAAACAGGAAGTTGAGTGTAGTTACGGTGAAGGTAAAACATATTTGGGCTTGGGACTGAATGGCATATATTGCAAGGGGAGGGAAAGGAAACTCCCAAAATGAAGGGGAAGAGAGGCTGGGAAGGGTTAGGCCCTTCTCGGAGCAGGCTGGAAAAGGGTGGGTGGCCTACATCTTTGCCATTTGCTTCAGGTGCAGACACAGGGACCCCACACAGCAGCAGCAGCACAAAGGGAGGTATGGCCTGTGACCTTTTTTTCAAAGCTCCTCAAGAGCTATAGCTCTTAAGAGATTTCATAAGCCTGGACTGATTTGGGAGGGAGGTGATTAGGGAGAGAAAAATGGAGAAGCTATCAGGCCTAAAGTACAGTGAATTGAGCAAGGGAAGGAGGGGAGTACATACTACTTTTTAAAAGATGCATAAATGTGTACCCCTTAACTGGATTCCTTAACTGGAATCCTGACTTGTTGGATCAGGACCAATGATAAGCATCTGGTATCTTCTTTTCTGCATTCTTAGCCATTGGCCAAACAGAGATTACTCTACTCTGACCAGTCTGGCTTCCTAAATCGGCAGCATAAATCCCTTTACTCTGGGTCTCAAGGGATGTTGGGAAACATCTAGAGCCTTCTGAAGGCCTCTAGAATCAGGAATATGAGAAATCAATGGTATTGGTTACATCTCCAGTTATGACCTCTGTCCTCATGGGATCTAGTCACTGTGGCAGAGTTGCAAGTCTTTTCTTTTAATTTTTTAAATAGATTGTGAGGTCTCTGTAGTCTTACCTGGAGTCGGGATGGAGTGGGAAGCAGGAAAGAAGCTAGCTGTCTCTAGTAGGCCATGCTAATCTACTTCACTGGTATGCTGAACTCCATCCTATTTCAGAAACATCTCAAAATGCTACTCCCAGTTCAATCACCATGAGCCTGAGGACAAGGGGAAATTTGACCATTGTGCCCAGTCCCACGTCAGAGACGGTGCTCACTGTGGCTGCCTTTGGTGAGTGAAGAAGGGAAGGGTGGGATGTGGAAAGGGACCCCACTTTAGGAAGTGATTTGGAGTCTGGGTTTAGGAGCACAAGTTTGAATTTCAATCACTTGTTCCAAGGATGGTTTGATAAGCAAGACCCTAATTGAAGAAAGGCTCAATTGGCTTATCAGCCATCTTTTCTTGACTCCATTGGGCTCCGTGGATGCCTCTGGGCTGAGCAGCTTACTCTGCCTACAGAGAGCAGGCTGATAGCTCCTTTGTTGCGTAGAGAAGTGGAATCCATTTTGCTCTCAGAGCCTGTCTATTTTATACTTTGCTTTATGCTTTTATTCTCTCTTTCCTTCTTTTCTTTCTTTGTCTCTCTCTCTCTCTTTCTTTTTCTCTCTTTTTCTTTCTTTCTTTCTTTGTGTGTGTGTTAGTACTGGCCCTTGAACTCAGGGCCATGCACTCTCAGTTGACTTTTTCCACTCAAGCCTTTCTTTGTTTCTAGCTTTTCGCTAGTCAATTGGAGATAAGAGCATCTTAAATTTTTCTGCCCAAACTAGCTTCGAACCTCAGTTCTCAGTTTCCAAAGTAGCTAAGATTATAGGCATAAGCCACTGGATTATTCAACTAGGTTACGGTAGGATATTGGACTCTAAATGCTCTCTCCTCTACCTCCTCTTCACTTCATTCTTCTCCCAATTCAGGTGTCATCAGCTTCATTGTCATCCTGGTGGTTGTGGTGATTGTCCTAGTTGGTGTGGTCAGTCTCAGGTTTAAGTGCCGGAAGAATAAGGAGCCTGAAGGTACTTGTGTTTACCTGCTGTGCTTCTTTTCCTCTCCTTCCCTTGTGCTGAGGGACCTGGTGCTAGAGGCTAAGGCTGGTACTCAGCCTGGGCTGAGGGAAGAAACAGCACAAAAGAACCATTTGATGACTTAAGAGAATCCCCATTGTCGGGCACCTGTGGCTCACACCTGTAATCCTAGCTACTCAGGAGGCTGAGATCTGAGGATCACGTTCAAAGCCAGCCTGGGCAGGAAAGACCGTGAGACTCCTATCTCCAATAAACCACTAGAAAAACCAGAAGTGGCACTGTGGCTCAAGTGGTAGAGCACTCGCCTTGAGCTGAAGAGCTGAGGGACAGCACCCAGGCCGAGAGTTCAAGTCCCATGACCGACAAAAAAAAAAAAAAAAAGAGAATCCTCATGAGGGGAAAGTGGGCTTCTGAGTTCCAGCATGTGGCCATAGTACAGCTGTGTCTTTGTGTTTTACAGATCCTCAAAAACCAGGAAACTCAGGGGTATCTGAAAGGTAAGACTATCAAAAGAACAAGAAAGAAATCTATATGACTTCAATTCCTGTAGTACAAGAGGAAAACGCTTCAGATCCTCGACGTGTGTAGAGGACATAACACACAAAAGATCCCCCCCACAGATACACACCACACACACACACACACACACATACTACAACACTCCTGAAGCTTTCACTGAGGCTAGGGTGTAGTGTCAGGGCAGAGATACACAGATATCAGGTGAGTAGAGATGGACTGGACTCTTCAGCACCAGAGATAAACTTGTCTTCCCATCACAAAAAGCATAGAAATAGATTCTAATATACACCATGTCCCCTCTCTCTAAGCTGAGGAAGGTCTTATTGAATACCTACCACATGACCATGTACCATGTGCAGTACTACTTCATTTTAAGAAAGTTTATAACCTGGTCAAGATCAAGCAAGCAATAGGTAGCAAAATTGAAGTTTCAATATGTCTTTGTGTTTCAAAACACTTTGGTCCATTCCCTTGGTAGAGATTGTGTGTGTGTGTGTGTGTGTGTGTGTGTGTGTGTGTGTGTGTGTATGTGTGTTACTGGGGATTTAACTCAGAGCCTTGCACTTGTTAGGCAGGCTTTCTACCACGAGCCATTCTATCAGCCTCTACTATGCATGTTTTTGAAACCAAAAAGAAGTTTGAAGCATCAGCCCCCACAGTTCTGTGATTCTTTTTTTTTTTGAGGGGGGGTCCAGTCATGGGGCCTGAACTCTGGGCCTGGGCCACAACACCACTTCCAGCTTTTTTCTTTTTGCTTATGTGGTGCTGAGGAATCGAACCCAGGGCCTCAGGCATACAAGGCAAGCACTCTACCACTGAGCCACCTTCCCAGCCCCCAGTCCAGTGATTCTTTGCTCCCTTGTCTCCTCCGGTCTGTAACCTCCACTCCCTTCCCACCCAGCTGTTCCACAGCCAACGGTGAGAAAGACAGCATCACTCTCATCTCCGTGAAAAACATCAACATGAATAACAGCAAAGGCTGCCCCTCAGCAGAGAAGGTGCATTTTTTTCTTTCCTAAATTCATTTGCCCAGCTCCTGCTCCTACTTACTTCCCTATCCTGTTTCTCCAAAGAAGTTAACCCTTCCTTGCTATGTATTTATTTATAGGTTCTTTAAAAGTGACTGTGGGTCTTGGCGAGTCCAAGGATGTTGCAGCTGTTCCAAGACAAAGAAAGAAGAGGTGACATTGGTAGAGGCAACAAACCACATAGAAATTATTTTGTGTCATGTTTGCTCCCCGTTCTAAAGGATCCTGGAGCTCCTCTAGATTTGGGAGTAAGCTACCCATATGAGAGACTCCTGCTCATGTGGAAGCCACTCTAGAAATCTGACCTCAGAACCACAGAAATGAGTTGATACAGCAAGAGCAAGGAAGATGATGAGATGGACTGACCCTTTCTACTTGCATTAAAATTATGTTCTGGCCTGCAGCCTAATTTCTTTTAAGGTCAATATGATTACCATAGCCTGCCTGTCTGTCTGCCTTTTCTTTCTGTTTTTCCTCCCTCTCCCTTTCCTTCTTTCCCTTCCTTCTTTCCCTTCCTTCCTTCCTTCCTTTTTTTTCTTCCTTTCTTGAGACAAGGTCTATGTAGCTTCAGCTGGCCTGGAACTCGTGTGTAGCCCAGACTGACCTTGAATTTGAAACTCTCCTGCCTCAGCCTCCAGAATGCAGAGAAGGATTACAGACATTTGCCATCTTGCCTAGTGCCATGAAGTATTCCCTCAAAATCATTGGAGCAGCTTTGGGGCTTCTTTCCCAAGCCAGCATGGATGTATGGAACATCCTGTGGATAGCTCTCAAAGTAACTTGTGAGGTAGTGGAGACTTCTTGTCAGGTCTACCTCTTTTCAACTAGTTTAATAAGTAGGGTTCACAGACTAATCACTTCAATAGAAGAGAGAAAGAAAGGAATGTGAATAATAACCCTCATCAGCAATAACGAAGCTTGAAATCTGCAAAGCAAAAGATAGGAAGCTCAATACATTTAAATTAAAACCAACACAAAGACAAATGTTCTCTGCCTGCCCCAGGAAAGACAGGCATTACTTTGGTTCTAGCCATGCAATGAGCATTGGGAAATTTTGTCTTGAGGATAGGTCTGTAACTTTATATTGGCTGTTATGTTTACATCTCAGAAAGAGAATCAAGAATCACAGCTTTACCAGGAAGGAAAATAGGAATAGGTATATCTTAGAAATAGGTATGTCTGCTATGAGATTAGTTTGGAAAAGAATCTCAGTTGGGAAGAATCAAGAGAAGAGTTGTTTGTGTGCCTACAGAGAATGTTTGGTTTTTATCACCATCTGCCAGCCGGCAATTGAGAACACAGGGATAACATAGCTTCCTCACTGCCCAGCAACAAGATGCTATTTTCTTCTAGCTTCACAGAGGGATATGACAGAATACTTAGAACAAAGACTTCCATTACCCTTTCTCATTACAAACTCTATTAAAACAAGACTGGAGAGCCAGACGCTAATGGCTCATATTTATAATCCTAGCTACTCAGGAGGCTGAAATCTGAGAATTACTGTTCAGCAATAGCCTGGATAGACAAATCTGAGAGACTTATTTCCAACTGACCAGTAAAAACCCAGAACTGAAGGCATGGCTCAAGCAGTAAAGTGAAAGCACAAGCAAGAGCTTGAGGCCTTAAGTTCAAGACCCAGTACCAGCACAAAACAAAAGCAAAAAAAAAAAAAATCAAGAAACCTACTGAATTCTAAAAATTTCCAGTGCAGGCTGTGAACCTGTTCATATGTACATACTGTGTCCAATACACTAGATATTAAAGACTGGGATGTAGCTCAGTGGCAAAGCGCTTGCCTCGCAAGTGCAACGTCCTGGGTTTGATCCCCAATACCAAAAAAGAAAAAAAATACAGTTAAAAAAAAAAAGACTAGGTCATGACATTTTCTAAAAAGAAATGTTCTCATAGCTGGGCATGGTGGTTCATGTTGGTGATCCTAGCTACTCAGGAGTCTGAGATTTGAGGATTGTGGTTCAAAGCCAATTAACTAGCAGAAAACTGCAAGTGGTGGGGCTGGGATGATGGCTCAGTGGTAGAGTGCTTGCCTTGCATGCATGAGGCCCTGGGTTCGATTCCTCAGCACCACATAAGCAAAGAGCAGGAAGTGGCGCTGTGGCTCAGGTGGTAGAGCGCTAGCCTTGAGCTGAAGAGCTGAGGGACAGCGCCCAGGCCCCACGACTGGACCCCCCCCCAAAAAAAAAGAAAAGAAAAAACTGCAAGTGGTACTGTGTCTCAAAATGTCAGAATGCTAACCTTGAGTAAAGGAGTTCAGGAGCACTATCCAGGCCCTGAGTTCAAGCCCATGACTGACAACAAAAAAATGTACTCATTACCTGACTTATGAAACTGTAACCCCTCTGTACATCACCTTTATAATGACAATAAAAAGTATTTAATAAAAAACTTAATGAAATACTGTTAAAAAAAAAAGTGAGGGGCTGGGAAGGCGGCTCAGTGGTAGCGCGCTTGCCTTGCATGCAAGGCCCTGGGTTCGATTCCTCATCACCACATAAGCAAAAAGAGAAAAGCCGGAAGTGGTGCTGTGGCTGAAGTGGTAGAGTGCTCGCCTTGAGCTGAAGAGCTGCGGGACAGTGCTCAGGCCCAGAGTTCAGGCCCCACCACCAACAACAACAAGAGAGAGAGAACCATCCAGGCACAGTTAAAGATAACAAATTTATTGGGGCTGGGAAGGTGGCTCAGTGGTAGAGCGCTTGCCTTGCATGCATGAGGCCCTGGGTTCCATTCCTCAGCACCACATAAGCAAAAAGAAA